GAGCAGAAGTAACTTAACTGCTTAGGGGAAACTCAATGCTTTATTTTAAGAGAGTATCTCTTGGATTATCTCTCTAATCTCTGAAGATATCATATTCTTTCTCTTCATCTTCTATTTCTTTGCCAGTGCTGAACAGTGTGACATCATCTATATGAGTACTGACAATAGGGCCAGAACAGATATTGTGAATTAAAGTTATTCTTACATATGCAGTATGAATGTATGACCAACAAGTATGTCCAACTGGACCGAATCCTATGGCTGGACTTGCTACTTAATTAATCCAGCATCACGAAGTTTGACGCTAAAAGAAAGACTGAAACACTCTACAGGGCACATTATCAGTATGTTATTTGCAAACTGTATGCAAGTAGAAGTTGCTCAAAAATTAAGCATCCAATTATAGGACACTGTGTTCAGATTTTTGAAAAAGGCCCCCTTAGAAAAACATTATATTACAACATAACTATTATATAGAATGGGTATTCTTAATTAAGGAAGCAGTCACTTACGCAGTGACCTTAACTTTGAATTCCCCGGGCATTTCAGTTTTATGTGGACTTCCCACCAGACATAGGTGGAGTGACTGTAACAGGTTCACATTAAAAAACATCGTAAATGTAAGATTTTGTTTAAAATAGCAGAAATCTCAGCATACAACTAACTGCTACATCATTAAAGTCTACAAGCACAATTTGCACAGCTCTGGCTATGTTGAATACCATCTTGGAGTCTCATCTCTCCAGAGTGAACCGTTTCACAACTGTACCGAAATCAAAAGAATTGCAGCCCAGAAACTAAAGTGTTTGACTCTTTCTTTTTTTTTTTTTTTTGTTTTGTTCTTGACTACAGCTTCATCCTGTAATCAAATATCATGTGTGTTCAGTACAGTCAATACACAAAAATGTAAATTACTTCTCCACAAGAAAAGCAGCACTGAAAAAGAATTAGACTTTCCTGAAGCCTGCATAAAGACTTAACAGGATGAGTCAAAATATTTATTTAAATACAGAAAAGAAGTCAATATAAAGCTAAAAGTCGAGAATTATTCAAACTTTTTTCTCCCACTCCAATTTACTCATGTGCACTGCTCAAAGACAGCTTTTTTTATGAGATACTTTCAGTGTTCCAAGGTTGCTTCCTTTGAGCATTGCTAGCATGTCTACTGATCTGCTCAGGTCGTGCTTTCTGAATGCTCATTTTCTTTGCCAAGAAAATACCACAGATGAGAGTTACAAACAGTTGCGTTAGCCAAGCTTCACATCTGCACGCACTTAGAAATGCAGTTTGTCTCTTGCTTTTAGAAATTTCTGGCAAACCTGAAAACACTCATAAGCTTTGTACAGTCCGTTACACCTGGCTGATTAGTGTTCATGCTGTAAGTGTTGCTGATGCAACCTAGAACACACCTGTCTCCCTGCTGACATTAGTCATTAGTGGAGCCTAACTACAGTACTATGTATTCTCTAATACGTTTATTTCTTAAACAGTTTATGTTTCATTTCATCATAATGAGGTATGACTTCAAATAAGTAAAATTACCACCATATCAGAAAATGCTATAATCACTTCATATAATGAAATGCAAGCAAATTAAATCTATATATTAAAATTAAATCAAAATCATTATGATTGAATACAAGTGTTCTTCTGAAATGATATTTAAGATTCCTTAACTAATAGACAAGAAATAAATCGGAGCTATTCTCTAGTCATTTTTATGTTAGAGACAGATAACAGGTATTACATAAATACTGAAGTCCTAAGAACATGATGAGTACTGTTTCAAATTCTCCATGCCACCGTCTTGATTTTTTTGTCCGATTTATGTCCAGCATGGCTTATCTGACCTTAAGGAGATTAAAACTAGTTACCCTTAACTAATAAGGTGGGTTGTGTTCTAATATAACTGCCGTGTTACGCCTTAAAAGGTGAGTAATAAGGTGATTATGTGTGATTGGGCTGTGGCAGCCCACCTAGCGAGGAGCAAGGCTGAAGATGAATCTCTGCGCTGCCCCAGCACAAACAGCTACTGCAGCCGATGGGCTCCCGGCTCCCCGCAGCTCCGTCCCCACCTGGCAATAAGGTCCCTGCACCCAGAATCTCCTGGCCGAGGCTCAGGTGGAGCCCTCCTCACCTTCTCCAGCACCCCTGCAGCTCCAGGGGCCGCGCTCGGCACGGGAAGTCTCAGAGGTGCCCAACTTGGCCACGACAGGTTCAACGCTACTCGTAATGTGCGTAATTAAGTCAGCTACAGCTCACCTCGTAAGAAGGTGGTGTTCAACTGAATATAATACCTGCAACGGGGAAGGTCACTGGAAAATTATGGGCTTTTCCCTTTATTACTATTTCCACAACAACACGTCACGTTTATTTTTCCTATTGTGCAGGTTACATGGTGCCATTTGGCAACCTGTTAAATATTTTCCCACTTATCATTCCTGACTAGGAGATGCAGTAACTTTCAAAAGATATCTGGTTTTAGAACTGCAGGTTCAAAAACATTACTGCACTATGTTTATTGAGCAACTTTCTGGCATTGTGTGCTGTAATCACTAACAAAATGAACCAGCTAAACTATTACAATAAACAATGTACTATCTTTAAAGTTGAGATTTTTAATCAACAAAAGATTAAAGACCTCAGTAAATTAAATTATGTGTCCCTAAATATTGAAAAGCTGTCTACAAATACCAACAAATATTTAAATATCCAGTGCTCTTGCAATGGAAACTGTTCCTCTATCTCTGCCTCCTACTCTCCTCCTTCCCATCCCCAGTGCATCAGAGCTATGGGGACCACAATGCCATATGAATCCTCTCCTTCCTTCTACCCATTTTTATTTCAATTCTTCTTTCACTTAAGTTTTAGCCATTTCTTTTGTATTTCATCATGTTCACGTGAACAACAGTCCACAATTACACAAAGCAATCCACACAGAAATCAGTATTACTCACAAAACAGACCACAGGGGAATGAGATCCTTCACTTGGGAACAGACTGACCTTCAGAAAATCTGGACAGTCAGATATTCCAAGCCTAAACAGTGAAATTCAGCTTCCCCTTGGATTTTTAAGCAATCTTTACAGAACTGGCAAAAAAAAAGTAAATGTAGAGGACAAACTTTTCTCCCATGTTGTCCCAAATTTCAAGATAACAAGATTTGCTAGAAAAATAAAAAGACTTGTAAAAACAATTTTCAAGACTCATGCTGCAATTAAGATGCTTTTTTATTTTTTCCCCTTGGATAAAATCTCCTTCATCAAAGTTCTGTAGATGTTAATAGGATCGAAATTTGAACTAAGTAAGCTAAAACTGTAACTTTTGATCTTTAAATGGAGTTTGCCCTCTAAGCTACTTTGACTTTTGGACTTTGTGGCCAATTTCCATAACTTTACATTAGGAAGACAGAAACGAAGCAGAATGGTAAATGGAGAGTTGAAGGTAATACAAGGTATTTTCACATGCCTGTGAAAGACTTTCCAACAGAGATACTTTATTTTTTCCCCTCCTATCTTTTACTCAACATGTGCTCTTCTGATTAGAGGTAAAAATAGGGAAGTAGGTTAAATAAAAAAAAAAAATTCAATAGCAGTTAATATAGCTTAAAATTAGCATTTTTTTTTAAATAGAAAAAAATCCAACAAATTAACAAAATAGTATTTCTGACAGAAATGACAACTCAAGACTATTAAAGATATTGCCCTATGAAGGATTATTTGTAACTTTAATTTGAGGATATAAAGAAGTTAACTTTTCTTTTGCTATACTACACATGTAAAAAAAGATCAAAGAAAAGAATTGAGATTCAAATTCCATTTTTAAGCAAAAATGACAATGTCTTCCTGAGTTAAAATTAATCCTTTAATGATGAATTTCAAAGGTTTAAATACTTTCTGTGACCTTGGCTTTAAATAATTATGCCAAGCGGAGCTTTCCTTACATTCAGAAAAGATTCTGAATTGTTGATCACAGCCATTTTAATGGCTTCAGGCTGGCTGATTTCCAACATAATCCTCCGAATGCTGTTTAAAATTACAGACCAAGAACCTGATGCAGGTAAATGAAATGTCACTTGCACAAAGGCTGTTCAAACAGCATATGCAGATTGTTAATTTGTGCCACTGTACATCTCTTTGCAATAAAATGTATGATTTCTTACATTAACGCCTATAAAAGATACTTCAACGATTATCTGCTTACATACACATAGTGTCTACCGTAAATATTAAGTAGGGTTTTCTTAGTTTAGCTTTTGAAATGAAATTCACATGTTTTAGCTCATAACATCCTTAATGTGGTACAATACTTGAATTCAAGACGCCGGTACAAGGGGATGCTCAGTAAGCACTGATGTGCAGTCAGTGACCCCACTCAACAGAATAGAGAGGGAAGCCTTGATGTATCTCAAACATGAATTTCTATTTTCAAGCCTTTCACAGAGTCCTTGCTCACCTGACGAACACAGGCAAAAGCAGACCAGTCGTTAGCAATAGACCCAATTTCCTTGCATTTTTAGCCTGAACTTTTTTCTCCTTAAGAACTTTCCTTCTTTTTAAGGGAAAAAACTCTTGGTTAGACAGAACCGCTCTTTCTGTTCTATCTGTTCTAGCAAAGGAAGAGTGATTAGCCTAGTCTTTGGCTGATTTTGTCTTTGAAATCATCTGGATTTTTGAAGTCCTGCCAGCTCCCAAGCACCACACGGTCGTCCCCATTCCACACTCGCAGCTGGAAGGTGCTGGCCCAGCACCCCTCTCAGGGAAAACAGCTACAGCAGCAGCCACTGCGCCTTCAAAGCGAAGTCTTTCATTATAGAGCCACAAAACTTTCCATACTCGTGCCGTGACTGTGGCATCCAATGTCAGATCTACAGCATACGTCTGTTTTTTCAACTCAAGTGACCCTTAAAAATTTTTCCTCAGTGAAACTTTATCTGACTTTTGGGGTGATTGCTCCCCTTTTGCCATGCCACAAGAAGCTGACCTATGTGAACCTCTTACCTTGTCCAATGCCTTCTCTGTTTCTGCCACATGGATCTTTTGCAGCTCTAATGTCATTTTCTCTGCCTCCACTTTCAGCTTATTCACCGTTGTCTCATGGTCTCGAGCTGCCCTCTGCTTCTCCTCTTCCCACTGATGTCTCAGCTCCAGAAGCTGCTGCTTCCGCTGAGCATTTACCTGAAGAAGCTCTTCTCTCAGCTTGTGGATTTGGTTCTCCATATCACAGATAACCTGAAATAAAGAAGAAATAAAGTAAAAAAATAAACCAACACTAACAAAGCAAAAAACACTTGATATTCTCGAAGAGGCCGCTACCTGAGGTAGGAAGCAGACTCAAAGGATTCTCTATCCCTTTTCTTGATCTCTTTTATTGCTCTTCCCCTTTTCTTCATACATGCAGATGAGTACAGCACCCCCCTGCTGAAAGCACAGATGGAGCAAGATTTACCTTTTTGAAGGGGGTGCCCCTAAAGGTGAAGAACTTTAGTTTGTGGCATACAAGCACTATGTATAATGTCCATGCTGCCTTTTTTTTTTTTTTTTTTTTTTTTACCTTAAGAAATAACATGCTGCCTTCTAATGAGATACCAGTGTGTCATCAATCATTGCTACAGATTACAGACTGTATTTCATCACAACGTGCTAATGTGCACCAGAAACGTATCAAAGAAGGTCACTCCTTCGGGTGAGGGAACTAGAGCGCGCTGAGAGAGGATGGGCTAAAGCAGAGAACCCTTAAGATTCTGCAAACACAGTATAGATAAGGCACACGAGCTTCAAAATGCAAGACAGACTTCAGAATCTACAACTCTTTTATGTGATCACAGATTATCCTTCAGTCTGCGGGGGCAAAATAAGTTGTGCGACGCAGCAGTGGCAGCAAAGCGGGGGACGGCCGAGCGGCAGCAGAGCAGCGGGGAGCTGGCTCGCTGCCTGCCTTGGATGGGGGAACTTGAAAGGGCAAGGGATGAAAATTATACACAATAAAGTTGTGTTACTCCTGAAGTATACAGAGTACACATTGCTACTTTACAGGAGTAGTAGAGTATAAAATTACTACTTTACATTTGCACTGGCATATAACTCTTATTGGTTACTTTTCTAACTGCATGTGTAGCTTCTTAAATTAAGTATAGCAGCATCACACCTAGGACATAAAACCGTTATCCTTACAGCTAATTGTAATGCATGATATTACAAGCACATATATGTTTTCATTCATAAATATAATTTTGAAAATAAGCATTTTCACTAAAACACTCACACAGTATTATTTCCCCCCTTTTTCCTCTCTGCTTCACAAGCAACTTCGCAGTTCCCTGGAATTCATTCATAGAAGATGCAATAATATTGAGATAAAAAAATTTATGTTCTACCAAACAGACGTAGGTGACACAGCTCAAGTTTATTAAAGGTTTCACAAGAAAATCTGATGAAAATTACCGCATATTTAAAGATGCCATTGCACTGGAAGGCCAGTTACTGATTCTAGACCTCTGAACGGATCTCCCTCTCAAACTATTATTTTTCTTTTTCAGACATTTTTAATATACTGTCTGTATTGAGCTAACCCATCTATTTGCAGTCTCTGAGAACCACAGTACTACAAATCTTTGGAAAAGAAACATTCGTGTCTGACCAGAGTTGGGAAACGAATGACTATCACATATATTGCCTTGTACATTAATATCTCAAGACAGATTTATAAATACCGTGATCTGAGAGAGAAAAATTGAAGCTTGAAAGTTTGCCTATTTTTTTCAAAGTATCTGAACTATATGGTGTAATAAAAGACATGTCATCTCCCCTCAAACCTTCAGTTGTGTCCTGCAAGTATCACAGCCATAACATGTATTAAATAATATTAACCACCTTGGAAACTTATCACTGGACTGAATTTTGCTTCCATGCTTTCTTAATTACTCATTGGCATTATTCCCTACTATGTCAAAGGTAAAATTCCGTGTGTGTATGCTTAGAGATGGAATGAGCACATCATTTGTATACAGAAGTATAATACAGGCCACATACTTCAGCTATATCAGCATTATCTCAAACATATGTTTCATATAGTATAATCTGCACTAGATCCTTTCCTTCCTTTCCTGATCTTTTTCTCTACACGTTTAATTTTTTATTAAATCTAGACACAGACTAAAAATGTAAAGTACATTTTAGGATATAATGTTAACCTACAATATGATTTTATAAATATTTTGGAAAATAATTTCACTTCACGATCATAAAAAATGATAGCTTAAGTGGCTTTTACTTAACGAGAGAAATGCTAGGTCAATGAAGATAATAGCTGCAACTTCAATAGGATGATACAGTCCGAGTTCTAAACTGACACACATAACATTTAGGTTTTTTAATAGTTGTTCCAATGCAAGTCCTGCCTGGAAAGGTAACAATTATCTTTTAATCTGTAACAGTTTTTTCAGAGCTCATTCCCCCTCCAGTACCACTTCCCTTTATTTTTTTTTAGTTTCTTCCTTTTTAAAACAAAAAATGTCTTTACACTTTTTTTTTCCCCCCCATAAGTACAACTAAGATTTTTAGAAAACTTTTGAGAAGTGTAATAAGTTTGATAAAATATTTAGGATAAGAAGCCACAGCTAACTTCTTATAATACAGGGAAAATTAATTCATAAATCAATAAATCATATTACAAGCCAAAAGAGAGACTAGGTAAATTCCTGACTCAGCTGTTACATCTTTCTGCTTCACTTCGTTCTATATTCAATAATTCTTATACAAAGCCATTAGAAAAGAAAATAGCACAGCATAGTGTTTTCTACTGCCACGTGGAAAAAGTAACAGCACCATGCCTTCAGATTCAAAACAGGAGCCAAAAGATAGTGGGCTGAATGTTATAGGTAACGTAACACTAATTAATATGCAAAGGAGCATTAATGTTGGACCTAATAGATGGCAAAAGCAGATTTGCTTCTATCAGGAATGAAGAAAGAATCTGAAGATGGGGTGACAGCAGCGAAACTAATATGATTAAAGGAGTCCTGTCGGAGCAACTTCACTGCTAGTAAGATGATGTTAAGAGACATCTAATCTCCCCGAAGTGACTGGAAAAAGCTTATATTGGGGATCACAGACACAGTTCTTGTCAATTACTCTAAAATAAGTCCAGTTCTCACAGCCAGATTATTTTTTCCCATAAACAAAGTCACTGGCAGAAGCAGCTTACAACCAAACAACCTGCTGCATAAGACAACTGGTGTGACATGCATATCTTCAAACTGCTAAAGGAAACGAATCCTAAAATTTCCATCACTAAGACTGTGCTATTCCACATGCCAGGTTTCATAAGTTATTATTAGACTTAAACGTAGGCAAATTAGTACTACTAGGGAAAAAAACCCAACAAGACGACATAATTCTCAGTTGTGAAAAATCCATGAAATATAAAACTTAAGAGCAACTGTCTTGTCTTAATTCTGTGAAAAAATAAAAGATGTAATTACAAAATCTCACTTCTCGTGCTTGAGATCTGAAGGCACGATGCATGCTTGGTTTCTTTATAAAACTGAATCTGCTTTCTCAGTATTGGTTTCTTCATTGCTTTTCCTGGCTGCCCAAATCCCTGTCTGTGAACCATGCCTACCAAATTGTTTGCATGGTCCAATCAATAACCCGAGTACAAGAGCTGCAGGGATAAATACACATCTTAAACACTCCACTGGAGAAAATTATTCTTGTGCTAAACATAAGATTTAAACATAAGAAATAGAGACTTCATAGTATAGAATAGGTTCAAAATTTTATTGCTACTCGCTGCCTTTTATGGATCAAATTGTTATAGTCTTTATTTCAGTTGTATAGGTGTGAGGAAAATAAAAAAAAAAATCTGTATTTTTTTTTTTACAAAGAATGCTGAAGTTCACAGCGATTCCACTGGATAGCCATGCCATAGCAGCACGCCCCAAACAAGAAAAAAATTTGTAAAGTGACTATTAATCCACATACAGGAAAACAAATAGAAAGAAAACACTAGCTTACAGAGTATCCCAAATGGAACAAAAATACAAATGTGTGAACTGTGTGACAGGGTAGAGATTTCATATAAATTTATATGGCATACTTGTATGTATGTGTACGCAGGTATGATGATCCAATAGCTGAAGAAACTGCTAGCTGAGATGGTAATTTCTATTTCTGTTTCAAAGGAATAATTTAGAATTCTAACTAAGAATATCTGTGCTGAAATAGTGTCATAAAAAGGGTGGGTCATAAGCCCACAGCAATTTGCCTGTAGGGAAAAAATAGACTTGAAAGAAAAAAAAGAAGGTTGCTCACTCACTTTGGCCTATTTAAAATGCCAATAAATGTACTGCATGTTATTTGGAAGGGAAACATGTGCTCTTAATTTTAAAAAGTAAATTGCATAAGAAAATATAAAGTTGGCAAAAAGTTTAAATTAAAATCTGTTGCTGATGTCTGAAACTCTGTTACAGTTACATGCAACAGAGATGAGAAATGGACCGAATGACTACAGTCTAATTAAAAAAAAAGATATATTCTCTCTATTTTCCAGAAGCTCCTACTTCAATCCCATGAAACATTTACTTGGATCTGTTTTCTAAGGAAGAGGCTGGAGCATGACCGCATCTTTTATGCTCACAGTGATGGAATACACAGACTTCACTGTCTCCCTTTCAATGTATTACACACCAAACCACATCCACCCCATCACCATATTCAGCTTCAAATAGTATTGAGGGCATTTTAAAGTCACAAAAACAAGGCAATGCAGAATTAAGATCAAATCCACTCTTAACTTATTCCCTGAGGCTCAGATCTAGAGTAATTTAGGTGTTGCTTCAGCAGTTTTTACAGTAAGTGACTAACATCTCCCAGCAGATGAAGTTGCAATAACCTTTCATCGCTCTTCATTGCTGAGTGCACTCAGGCTGCTGAAATAGTGCATCACTTTTAAAGACCACTGCATTTCTCAAGTGGATTATGACAACTCTTCAAACAGAGTTGCAGAAGTCTTCTGCATTGGGATAACTTGGCTTCTGTTGGTGATGACTGAATAGGTCTCAATTTGCTGTGTTTAATTTTGCTTGCACGTAACATTTAAAAAAAAAAAACAACATAAAGCCCCAAACCTCGGAGCACTTCCATGGACTTAGCTCAGACATGAACTGTTAGGTTAGATGATCCAATGATCCTTTCTAAGATAATAACTTAAAATATTAGCCCGTAAGTAC